CTTTCCCTGGTTGGTTTTTGTTCATTTTCTTTGTTTGGTTGTTTATTGTTTGGGGGGAACAGTGGTGGTGTTTGGTGTTCTATTTATTTATTGCATTCTCCATGGCCTTCAGAGCACCAGGTTTTACTATGCTGCAGGTTTTGTTACTAATGGTTTGTAATGGTCTCCTGAGAAGTTCTCTTGAGGAGAGGTGGAACATTCTGAGGAGGGAGCAGCTAAGGACAGGGCATAGTAGAAGCACCCAAGTAAGGCAGAGACCATGCCATTAGTACATGTAGTTGATGGATGGTTCAACTGAGTGCTTTAGCAGCCCTGGGATGTTGCTGTGACAAAACATTCCAGAGATGTCAGGGTGACTGCAGGCTCAGGCCCACCTCACACACTCACTCTGGATTTCTGGGGCTTCCTCCGCACACTTCACTTCTTTCAAGAATTTATGTATTTGAAGTACACTGTTGAGGTAGGGGATGAATCTCACCAAAACATGTGTTGTTGCCATATCACAAATATTGTGGCATGTACAGTGTTGTCCAGTGGCCACAGGCAAGCCCTGAAGGGAGGCCACCTTGACTGCCAGTGGTAAATGAAGAAGTATAACCTGGTGGACTGTCAGAAACCTGGCTGTGGCCAGAGTTAGGGTGGGTTGAAATCTGTCCCCCCTCCCTTCTGAATGCAGAAAAGAGCTCCTCCTGAGACAGAGTGTGGCTTAGAAATGGCTTCCCTCTTCCTCGCACTTTTTCCCGTCCCTCTGTGGCCTGCTGACTCCTGGAAGGGTTCCCACACAACCTTCCCCCTCTGCAGGTCCCCGCAGCTCCAGCTGCAATTAGACTTGCGGTCTTCAGAGTTATTTGGAGATACTTGTAGTGGTGGGGAAAGTCTGGCAAAAAAGTGATGTTATTATCCTCATCATCAACATGCTGAGAGGTGCAGCTGCTTTCCCTTTGTCTATTAAAATAATTTCCGTGTTTCATGCACAGGAAGCAGAGGAAAAAGTTACACGACCGCCTTCGGCAGAGCCTGCGCTCGGAAAGGAACAACGTGATGAACATGGCCAACGGGCCACACCACCCCAACCCACCGCCAGACAACGTCCAGCTGGTGAATGTAGGTTTTACTGTGACTTGAGAGGCAGGGGGGGACGGGCTGGAAATTACGTCTGCAAGTGTGCTGTAAATTGCAGTTTGTAAACCTGAGGTTTGTCTGTGTTTTTTTCAGCAGTACGTTTCAAAAAATGTGATCTCTAGTGAGCACGTCATTGAACGAGAAACAGAGACCTCATTTTCTACAAGTCACTACACCTCAACAACACATCACTCTGTGACAGTCACCCAGACACCCAGCCACAGGTATGGGAGTAGGGAGGCAAACAGCACCTCTGATATCTGATCTGTTGCTGTTGCAAAACAAAAAAGATGTGTAAAAAAACAAACCCTGAAAAATCTGTTCTCCCTTGGTGGTGTTTTCATTTATAAGAGAAACAATATTTATGTCATGTTGCCCAAGTAATTATCTCTCCAGGATTTGACAAAGAGCTTTATTGACTGAATGGCATTCTGATGCTATTACAGTGAATTTTATTATATGCAAATTGCTACATCATTGACAGTCCTGGTGACTGGAATGCCCTCCTTCCCTCCCCTTTTACCCACACATGCAAAATCACCTTGATGCATGTGTATTCATGCAATTCACAAATCCCTGCAACCCCAGTTACTAACCCGAAGGTTATGCTGCACATCCCCAGCAGCAACAGAGCCTTTCCTTTCCCCTGCCTAAAGTTCTGCTCATCCACATTTGCCACCAAAGCACCTGCTCATGCTCTCCTCCTTTCTCCTTTCCTGGTTGCTGCTCTTCAGCTGGAGTAATGGCCACACTGAAAGCATCCTTTCCGAAAGCCACTCGGTGCTCATCAGCTCCTCCATGGAGAACAGCAGACACGCCAGCCCGGCGGGGCCCCGGGGCCGCCTCCATGGCATCGGGGGGCCACGGGAAGGCAGCAGCTTCCTCCAGCATGCAAGGGAGACCCCTGACTCCTACCGAGACTCTCCTCACAGTGAAAGGTAGGACACACCACTTCTTTGCTCTCAGCTGGCAAGGTCTGGTGTTCCCAGGTGGTTTCCAAGTTTGGGAGCACAAGAAGAGACCCAACAGTGCCGCTGTTCGTGTAGGATACACATTTCCTCATTCTTAAAGGTGGAGAGCTTGGTAGTAGTTTTCAGTCTACCAAAAGTATTTCTTCCCTTCTTTTCTCTGCTGTATTCATTCCTAATAGACAGCAATTCATACTTGTATAAATGCCATGGAAATAATTTGTCAGATATCTCCAGATCCTTGCCTAATTATCAGTGTCTTAGAAGAGGTCAGAGAGAAAATGGAGGGATTTTGTGAGACATGAAAGATGGGGAGATGTTGATCCATAGGAGGAGGGCATTAAGGTCTCCTAAGCAGTACAGGAATTCTGCCACCACCTACTTTTGTGGGCTTTCAGCTCCTAGGCCCATTATCTCCTTTGAAAATTCCCCTGACACTTTATTAAATAAAAGCAAGGAACCCAAAGTGCAAGACAGAAGAACCCAGGTGGTTATTAAATCAGTTTGAAGTAAGGCTGGCAGGAGTTTTCCAACAAAACAATTTTTTTCCCTCAAAAGGATGGCTCATCAGTACCTAAGGTCTGCCTTGAACTACATCAGTTGCAAGAAAACATTTACTGAAAAAGTCTTCTCCAATTTGGGCTAGAATTTTATCTCAAGAGTGTGGGATGGCCCTAGAGTAACAAAAGAAAGACTGGAAAGAAGCAAAGCATTTAAAGGCAACTCTGCTCCCAACAGTCAGAGGCAGAAGAAAAGGAAAACAACGGGTTACTGGACCAATTCTCTGAGCATTGTCAAATCATGAGGGATTTGATCTCATGGGATGTCTATGATGTTAAAAATGCAGCCAGGCAATCACCAAGGAGACAGAGTTATGTAGGAGACAAATTGTGGTTTCCAGAAAAAATGAATGTGCAAGGACAGCAAAAGCCATTTCTTTGGTACTCCCTGTGCTACACAAAGAACTGCTTAGCAGTCGGATAAGGCACCACTGCTGAGACCTCTCTGAAGAAGGCCTTGTAGGACCACTAAGGATAGTGAACTGGCTTTCTCCTTGTAACAAAGTTATCTGTTATTTACCATGGAATTTAATTTCAAGTCATGTCACATGACATATACAGCCATGGAAGTAGCCCCGCTGAAATCAGCAAGACCACTCGCGTGAGTAGAGCTTTGCGTGTGCTTAAGTGATTTGCTGGATCAGGACCTATAGCAAGCAGTAAATATCTCCTCGTTTCCTACCTGGGAACCATGCAGGATGCATGACCACACACGTGCCAACAGTGACTTTTATAGCTTAGGATATTTGGGCATCTGCACGTGAGAAGCGAGGGTCATTCACACTGTCTTCCCGTATTGCTCAGAACACCCGGAGCATCGTTCTGGTACGAGCTGTTTAGTTTTTAAGGGGGAAGGGAAGGATCATGTGTCTTTCGTTTTCAGTGGGAAGAAAGAAGGCATTTCATTAATTACTGTTTCTTGAAGATTATGCTAAAGGTTATAATCACATTTATGTGATTATCACATTTCTGTGATAATTCACCAGGCATTAAGGGCCTGGCCTGTGCCTGAAGTGGCTATGAATTTGGAATGCAGAAGATAGTTCCCTGTGAAATAAATAAGGCCTCATCTATTTTTAGCAAGCAGGAAAAGCATGGCAGATTATGTCTGGATTGTGTGTATTTGTGTGAAGAAAAGGGGGAAAATTAGAGTTATTTGCAGCTAAAAATTACTCCAAAATGTTAAGGAAGGTACAAGCTGATAGATTGCTTCCTGAAACCATAAAATGTTGATGTGCTATGAGTTGGTAGAAAAAGGCTGTGCTCCCTCCACCCTCCAGTATCTCAGCTCCTTCACAATTCTGAAATTAAATAGAATAGACCTTATGAGGGGTTCTTTTGCATTACACCATCCCTTGGTTGGATTCCATGTCCTGACACCCATTTACATGAGCAGAGGACCCAAGCATCTATACTTCTGTAAGTCCTTCATTGTCTTACAGAAGAGAAGATCAAAAAACACCATCTCTGAACAAAACTATATGGACCATATGATGAAGCTGGCAGCATGTAACTAGTAAATTCTTGCTGGCTGGCTGTGGATACATGCTGATCGCCTTTCACTGAGCCAGCATGGTTTACCTCTTGTAGGCAATGAAGCTGGATTAATTTATTGCCTTTTAACCTTCTTTTCACAATGGGCTCAAACCACGTGTTCAACTCCTGTCCCTCAGCTTGTGGACAGAAGCTTGTTTGCACTTCCCCATTATGTTGTGTGGGAATACACCAGAAAAGTGTGAATGCACAGCACCCCTGTATGAGTAACTGATGGAAGCATGCACCTTACACTGAAGACATTTAACTAAATTAGTGCATTCACTGAACCAGTTTATCTAAAATCCAGTGTGTGAAGAAGATATGCATCCAATACTGTACCGTCTGGAGAAGTAGAAAGGCTTCAGTTTTTCAGACAATGCCTATTTTAAAATGTGAAAGGGATTAAAGGCTCACTTATGGGAGGAAAAATAAAGAATGACTTCATTCATCCAATGCACTGACCTATTAGTTGTCCTCTGCTCTTGCTAGCAAACAACTTGATTAATTTCCATGCAAAACTCCAGTTTTGTTTATCTTTCCCCTGTTTTTCAGTTGATGTAAGTCAATATGCCTCTACTGAAACCGATTTACTTCACTACACATCAGTTCAGGATCTGTCCCACTTTCTCTTTTATCCAATAACTCTGTTTTAATCAAGTGCAATATGTGCAACTGGGTCACAGACTGAAGAAAGTTGGATTCAGATTTAGTTTGGTAGTTTCAGACTCAGATAAATAAATCACTGATGAAAAAAATAAATAACTTCATTGATCATAGCTACATAGTTTGTCTCAATGGGCCTGTGTAAGAGATGGATATCAGAAAGATTTTAAATTTGGACACAGATTAAATTCAGGCAGACTAACTTAGGATAAGAACAGAAGCAAAGCCAAACTGCAGAATGTTATGCTGAGCACTGTGCCTGTGATCAAGAGGTTTCAGGCAGATCCTCACCTGGCATGAATCTGCATGACCTCATAGCATCTCCTGGAGCTCTGCTGACTCAAACCAGCTGAGAGTCTCACCTTTTTTTTTTTTTTTGTCCTCTTCCTTTGGGATAAGCTCTGTACTGGCATCTTTGACCACGACCCTTCCTACAGAAACTTAAGAAGGAGTAGGGGCTAATTTTGCACAGTCCTCTCTGTCAGCATTTGTTTCCACGTGAGGATTAATAACATTACATGTTTCTTTGCAGATAGACTTACCAGCCAGGGTACTACCCTCAGTGATTAAAATTAGTAGAATATAGCTCTAGATTTTGTTCAAACTTTGCTGTCTTCCTTAGCTTGAGGCAGTCTGGTCAGAAAAGAGTGAAGCCCCAAGAAGACTGTCCCTCAGTTCCCTTCCCTTCTCTTCTCCTATCTGTTTATGTGTGTCCCAGTTTCTGGTCAATCCTGCAGAAATGCAACAGCCATTTTCCTTTTAAGAAAATACTTGCAAATACATTTTGTTTCTGGCAGCTCCCCAGTCTCTGAATCCCATTCCTGGAGCACCTGGCATGAATCTGCATGACCTCATAGCATCTCCTGGAGCTCTGCTGACTCAAACCAGCTGAGAGTCTCACCTTTTTTTTTTTTTTTTGTCCTCTTCCTTTGGGATAAGCTCTGTACTGGCATCTTTGACCACGACCCTTCCTACAGAAACTTAAGAAGGAGTAGGGGCTAATTTTGCACAGTCCTCTCTGTCAGCATTTGTTTCCACGTGAGGATTAATAACATTACATGTTTCTTTGCAGATAGACTTACCAGCCAGGGTACTACCCTCAGTGATTAAAATTAGTAGAATATAGCTCTAGATTTTGTTCAAACTTTGCTGTCTTCCTTAGCTTGAGGCAGTCTGGTCAGAAAAGAGTGAAGCCCCAAGAAGACTGTCCCTCAGTTCCCTTCCCTTCTCTTCTCCTATCTGTTTATGTGTGTCCCAGTTTCTGGTCAATCCTGCAGAAATGCAACAGCCATTTTCCTTTTAAGAAAATACTTGCAAATACATTTTGTTTCTGGCAGCTCCCCAGTCTCTGAATCCCATTCCTGGAGGCATTCCAAGAAGTTATTCTGGCAAATAATTTACAGCATCTCCATGGCTCTTCTGAGACAATCAGACCTGGGGGGTTTGCTGTGCTCCTCAAGCTCTCAGAAATTTTTGCCCAGAGTCCCAGAAGTCAGCTGTTTTATAGGATTAAGAGCAACAGGACAGTTTCCCTGATAGCCCTGTGTGAGGATACTGGGGATCTTAAGGGATCACTGCCTTTTGCCTCCCAGCCCACGTGAGCATCTGTGTTCACATGTCAGCACTGCCCCTGTGCTTGCAACCTTTCCCCATCTGTTTCTTCAGGTATGTCTCAGCTATGACCACACCAGCTCGCATGTCACCTGTTGATTTCCACACTCCAACTTCTCCCAAGTCCCCCTCCTCCAAAATGTCACCACCGGCTTCCAGCTTGACTGTCTCCATCCCTTCAGTGGCCGTGAGTCCCTTCATAGAAGAGGAGCGACCACTGCTCCTGGTGACCCCACCAAGGCTACGTGAGAAGTATGACCACCACCTTCAGCAGTTCAACACCTTCCACCACAATCCTGCCCATGAGAGCAACAGCCTGCCACCAAGTCCTCTGCGGATAGTGGAGGATGAGGAGTATGAGACCACACAGGAGTATGAACCAGCACAGGAGCCTCCAAAGAAACTCAGCAACAGCCGGAGGGTCAAAAGAACAAAGCCCAATGGCCACATTTCCAGCAGGGTGGAAGTGGACTCTGACACAAGCTCTGAGAGCAGCAGCTCTGAGATGGAAACTGAAGATGAAAGAATAGGAGAGGATACACCATTCCTGAGCATACCGAACCCCGTGGCGACCAGTCTGGAGCCGGCTGCTGCCTCCCTGCTGGCTGAGAGCAGGACTAGCCCGGCTAATCGCTTCTCCACACCAGAAGAGCTGCAAGCAAGGTTGTCCAGTGTAATAGCTAACCAAGACCCTATTGCTGTATAAAACATAAAACACATAGATTCACATGTAAAACTTTATTTTATATAATGAAGTATTCCACCTTTAAATTAAACAATTTATTTTATTTTAGCAATTCCGCTGATAGAAAACAGGAGAGGAAAAGAAAAAAACCTTTTATAAATTAAATATACGTATGTACAAATGTGTTATGTGCCATATGTAGCAATTTTTTACAGTATTTCAAAAATGGGGAAAGATATCAATGGTGCCTTTATGTTATGTTATGTTAAGAGCAAGTTTTGTACAGTTACAATGATGGCTGTCCCATAGTATTTTGCAAAACCTTCTAGCCCTCAGTTGTCCTGGCTTTTTTGTGCACTGCATTATAATGACTGGACATATGATTTGCAAGAATTGCAGAAGTCCCTCTGGTTGCTTGTTGTAGAATCCCCAGATCAAAAAGTCCTGTAATGGCACTCTCACCCTACACACCCCACCAGAAAAACACACAAATAGACACAGAGACACACACATGGGGGGGAGGGAAGGGGGAAGGGGCAGGGAAAAAAAAGTTAAAAAAAAAAAAAAATTCTTCTATAAGAAGTTTTATTTGCTTTCTGTATATTAAATTAGTTTTGTCTGCTATCTGCCAGCCAAAAGGTTTGCTTCTTTGAGCACTGGGATAATAGTAGATCCAACAGCATGCTACTATTAATTACAGCAG